TTGGGTTTGAACCTCACTAATTGCATTTCTTATATTTTGTGACCTATTTTGTAATTGGGAAAAGTACTCTATTGGTCACTAAACTATAGAGTTGATTCTATTTTAGCCATTGAACAAAACATTTTGTCAATTAGGTCACAAAATTTTTAATTTGTTTCAAACAAGTCATCTACTGTTAACTGTTAATGGAATTACTAATGTGGCAGTTAAGCATATTTGTATAATAACATATTTGGTCCTAATTACTTACACATTCTATCAATTTAGTCATAATTAGGATAATAAGACATTTATTCCTTACTACTTACAAATTCTATCAATTTTGGTCCTAATTCTAATTAGGAATAATTTAACAAATTCAATGCTCTAACATTGATAGTGAGCTATATATGCTAAGTTGATAATGTAAATAATTTTTTAAAACTCAATAATGTGTTAAAATAAACCTTTAGTTATTAGTTTAGTTCTAGGTACAATTAGTATAATATAGGGCCTGGTTAATATTAAATTCCATAATTTCATACCTTTTGATTCAGACTCACCATTGAAGATTCGGAGCTTACTCATTGACAAAGAAATTGCAAACTTCATTTGCAGTCCTACTGAAGAAATCATGCTCTTCCATCTTCACATTAGTATTTTTAAACAAATGGAAGCAACTGTTCATGGTCCGAAAGCTTAATAGGGACGACCATGTCGATGTGGACATCGACGACTTTAGTTGAAGCCTTATAGAGAGAATCAGAGACATAACAGTAGGATAGAAATCGTTGATAAAAAGCAATAGCATTGTTTAAGGAAGGCACTAGTGCGATAACGACGGTGGTGGTTCTGTCACCAGCAACAACATCTTGTGATTTAGATAGGTCAATGAGCATCTTGGCGACGGATTGAAGGACTTCCATCTTGTTCAAAATGGTTGTCTTTGCTGGTTATAAAGCTGGTTCGAAAGACATCGGTGACATCTCAAGCTGTCTTTTTTACGCTTGTTGTCACATAAGACTTCATCTTGGAAGAGCGCGATTGAGTTGTTGTTACGACTGCCATTTATGGTTTTCTTTTTGACAGGTTTTTGGAATTGATTCAGTGGATCAAAGGTGCGGGAACAGAAAATAGAGTTTTGAGAGAGTGGGATCGAGAGAGTTGAGCGAAGGAAAAATGTGTCACATCATCCAATATAATCATTTTTTTTTTAATTTTAGTGGTGAAAAAAACTTACTCATACTTAAAGTGATCATTTATGTAGTTTACACTAAAAAAGTAGTCACTTTTTCACCAATTACCATCTTTCCAAAATAGTTGTTATGTAATTGAAATTAAAGAGAGAAAAAGGACACAAACTGTGTGTCTCCATCAATGGTGGTTTGAGTGGAAGTCTACGCAACCCATTACAGCCATCCAAATATTCTCTTTTCTCTCACAACCTTCGCTTCTACTGACGAAATACCCAACAAATAACAAACTTTTCTTATCTTTCCCTTCCTCTCCCAAATTTCCTTCTGTTTTTGGGGGAAAACCCAAATTTGTTCACTTGAATTTGGATCTCACTTCATATAAAAAAAATCTTTTCTTAATAGATAGATATTTATAACAACTTCCACTTCATTTCCCTTCGTATCTACTTCAACAGCCGAAGAATATTCATGGGAAACATCGGAAGTAGCGGAAATGGCTGGCGGCGAAACGGCACTCGCCGAAACCACCCTCCCCCGCCACGGCCGCCTACTCCAGCACAACCTCAACCCGAAATCGCTGCCAATCGCTATGTCTTTGCCGCCGCCACGCCTTACCCGCCCCAGTATTCCAACACGAACCCACCCCAATACTATCAGTATCCAGGCTACTATCCGCCTCAGCCGCCGGTGCCCTTGCCTCTTCCGGCGCCTTACGATCATCACCATCGAGGTGGTCCTCACATGGAATCCGCCAATTGGAGTAGGTATGGTTATGGACCGATGATGCCGCGACCACCGGTTCCGTATATTGAACATCAAAAGGCGGTTACTATAAGGAATGACGTTAATTTGAAGAAGGAAAGTTTGAAATTGGTACCTGACGAGGAGAATCCTGGAAAGTTTTTGGTTTCTTTCGCTTTTGATGCTACTCTTGTAGGAAGGTATAAAAATTCAATCTTTTCGGACAAAGTTTCGATTTTTGTTGTCAATAAGAATCACTGCTTGCAGCTATGAAAATGGGTTACTTTTGATCATCCATGGATAGAATTGATGTGGTTATTGTGTTAAAAACTGTCTTCATTTTTAGAGCTTGAGATGTATATTATGTCATATTAGCACGAGAAACAATTGGAGGGTTTAAGGTTTGCCAAGGCGTTTTATAGATTTTCTTTTTTCAGATAAATTTTAATTTTTGCTGTAATTGAGAATCACTGATTGCACTTATGAATACGAACTTGGAATTTAACGATATGGATATATGTGATGTGATTATTGTTAAAAGGCTATCTTCTTTTTTAGAGCTCAATATGTAAAATATGTCGAATTAGACCGATAAGTGTATTACAGTTTGAGGAAGTGACATTTTTAGAGGGATTAAGGTTTGCCGGGTGATTTTTAAGGTATAGATCAATTGAAGATTGGACAGCTTTTGTTATCTTTAAGTGTTGATTTTGTTGTTTGTCAGTTATATTTCGGGGTCTTAAGGCTTCCTTGTTTATATGGGGTGTGACAGTGATCAAAGAACCCAATTGTCTGGAAAAAGGAAGAAAACTTCCAAATATGGTATTTCACAACGGTTAAGGTGTTTTGAGGCCTTCCCCGCCCCTGCTTGTCAAAGTTCAAGCTCTCTGATTTTCTTGTTTTACTAGACAGAAAATGTTAATAGATATGATGAATACTAAAATGATGGTGATATTGTGTGTCCTAGTAATCGATTATAGAAGCTTCTCGACTAGAGTAAAATGATGGAAAGATGAGCTCTATGGCTTTGCTTGAATGAAGTATTACAACAGATAACAGAAAATAATCATGAATGGTTTGTTGATCTGGCAGAATTTGTCGTGAAACATTTCTTGTCATCCTTCTCTTTTTGTTTGTTTTTTTATTCTTATCGTAATATGGGTAGTATCAAACTTTGGATATTTCTAACAATATGTCATTTATGGTACTTCTGTTTCTTATTCATCGTGAGAAAGCAGTACTTAGTTAATGGAGTGGATCCATGTAGCCTTATAGTATCACCTTCTTACCAGCTGTTTTTATGCATTTAGGTTATTTCATATGCAGGATCGTATCTGATGTTCAATGTTGCATATCTTCATTGAAAGGTTGCCATTATTTGAATCCTGTTGTGTTCTGATATTGATCTTAACAATATATAGTTTTTGATTTGCTCCACAAACAGGATGACTGTTCTTTTCTTCGCGAAAGAAGGTGAAAACTGCAATCTAACACCAATGAAGGAAAGTATTCTACCACCAGTTACTGTGCCTTTCGAAGAAGGTCTAGGACAGAAATTCACACAACCCTCTGGAACAGGGATTGATTTCTCTATGTTTGAGGAGTCCGAGTTACTGAAAGTAGACGCGGATATCTATCATCTGGCAGTGAAAGCAGAGGCATTGCCTGTCAACCAGGATGGGTCAGACGGAAATAAGGTGTCGGGGGCCATGAATTCTCAGATAACTCAGGCCGTGTTTGAGAAGGAAAAGGGTGAATACCACACGAGAGTAGTGAAACAGATACTGTGGGTGAGTGGGGTAAGATATGAACTGCAAGAAATATATGGGATTGGAAATTCTGTTGATGACAGTGTTGATGCGAATGGTCCCGGAAAAGAATGTGTCATTTGCCTTTCAGAGCCCCGGGACACAACCGTTCTTCCCTGTAGGCACATGGTAAAAACTAGAAACATCTGCCTTTCGCCTTTCGTAATTGTTATTATGAACTTAATTTGGCATCGAAAAAAGATATTACTGCAGCGGGTCTCGTCTTCATATAAGTGGTCGATTTAACCAGTTTTCAGTTCAAAACTATTTGTGTGTCAGTAAAGAAAATAGTGGTTGCTGATTCAATTTCTCTTTCTTGTTGGTTATGCAGTGCATGTGCAGCTCTTGTGCAAAGGTTTTGAGATGCCAAAGCAATCGCTGCCCCATATGTAGGCAACCAGTTGAAAGGCTTTTGGAGATAAAGGTCAACAATGGCACTGATGAATGAGATGAAATTATGTTTCTTCCTGTATAGTGGTAGTACCCTGTTGGTTTTCATTTGGCTTTTTACCTTTATTTTCTCTTTTGATCTCAAACTATATGTTTGTCAGGTCATTGTAATAATCAAACAGGAAGCTGTAACAATTAATGCATACGATACAATTTGCTTGAATGCTAATTTTTCTTCTTTGATCAAATCAACATGGTTTCCCCAAATTTCAAGATTAACTTGTATAAGTCCAACCACCTAACCCATGAAACTATCATGTGCATGAAGCCATCCACATGTTCAACATTAGTTTTTCAATGATCCAACAAAAATAATATCTTAACGGCGATGATGCTTCACCAATAATAAATAATAACTCAAATTTACCTCTTAAGAATACTAAACTTAGAGGAGCAACTTCATGTTATTCCTGTCTGTCAAATATTCTAGGAATAGCCGTTTGTACTTTTATAATGGAGGTTCTTTCCTCCTCCCACACCTCTTTGTGCTGTCAATGGCAATTTTTGTCCTTGAATATACAATGGATTCAGGTGCTCCATCTCATCGCAATTCAATTCGGTTCAAACAGTTGTACTTGCAAAAACCAACAGGTTAAAGAGAGATGAACGGCCCACGCTAGCAAATAGAAATGCAACTTCGAACAATTAATGCATACGATACAATTTGCTTGAATGCTAATTTTTCTTCTTTGATCAAATCAACATGGTTTCCCCAAATTTCAAGATTAACTTGTATAAGTCCAACCACCTAACCCATGAAACTATCATGTGCATGAAGCCATCCACATGTTCAACATTAGTTTTTCAATGATCCAACAAAAATAATATCTTAACGGCGATGATGCTTCACCAATAATAAATAATAACTCAAATTTACCTCTTAAGAATACTAAACTTAGAGGAGCAACTTCATGTTATTCCTGTCTGTCAAATATTCTAGGAATAGCCGTTTGTACTTTTATAATGGAGGTTCTTTCCTCCTCCCACACCTCTTTGTGCTGTCAATGGCAATTTTTGTCCTTGAATATACAATGGATTCAGGTGCTCCATCTCATCGCAATTCAATTCGGTTCAAACAGTTGTACTTGCAAAAACCAACAGGTTAAAGAGAGATGAACGGCCCACGCTAGCAAATAGAAATGCAACTTCGACAGAAAAAAAATGGCCTTTTGTTTTGCCTTGAATCTTTAATGATAATCTGATCATTGCTTGTAGCTAGAACCGCCAATCTTGCTGGAAAGCAATGGCTTATCCTTGGAGCTGGTACTTAACAATGTTTCAGTGTTGCTTGATTGGCTTTCCGCAGCACCCGGTCTCATCCAGATTTTTATGTGCCCCTCTTGACAAACTGTAAGTACAGAGTCCTGGGTAAAAATCAAGTCTGAGAGGGGTTCGTTGTGAACACGATGAGCAACCAGTGGTGAAATTTTTGGGACATCTCGAATGCTTGAGGCTGGTTGCAAGGTACCCACGGGGGATGCATTGTCCCAATGGGAAGACTGGCTCCCTGTGCTGTAAGTAGGGGACCCTCCAGTGCATCGACGCAGTGGCACCACAATTTCATCCATTTCCAGGTCCCACAATAACAACTGTGTGTCCTACACAGAAGAAGGCAGTAATGAGATATTATGTACGTGCTGCAAGGGAGAGGATAGTTTTTTTTTTCCCTTCAGGAAAAGGAAATACGATACAGATTATGATAATACCATAAAAGCACAGAAGCCTATTTCGGAGTCTGAATTTCAGTTCTAAGATATTAACGCTAAGGACCACTTGTCAGATGATCCCCTTCAATAGGAAAGAAGGAACTAATGTTTTACTCTCAAACCTTTTCCAGTGCACATTTGTGAGTTGTGGTTGGGGTGGAGTACAGCAGCCAAATGGGGCATTAGATAGATAAAAAAAAAGTTTGAAGTATCTATAACTTTCAGAAGCAAGACATTTGTGGAACTTAAGAGTTGAATACTCAAACACAATCAAGAAACAAGCAGAATTTATGAGCAGGAAGAATATTGGGAAAACATCGCATCAAGATGGAAAATACAATGATAGGCAGTCATTATTTTGACCAGACTATATACCTGGCCAACTGAACCAAAACGGTACATCACATTCTCTACTGTGCCATCAGTATTAGGTGCTGACCAATATGAATCAAACGCCACTCCACTGACCTGTCAGCACCATTTCATAAGAGGTCATCATCATCTAAAATAAATAAGCTGGAGCCTTCATTAGTAGATAAAAATCATACCCACGAGTTGTGCCCCTCACCCCATGCAACAACCTTCCGATCTTCCATACTCCAAACTTGAACCAAGTCATCTTCACCTCCGGTCAGAATATATTTCCCATCCATGCTGTTTTGTGGATGTTATCGTCAATGACAAATTTTATTTTTTATATAGAAGGAACAAAACTTGACAAATTGGAAACACAGTACACTCTATATAAATAGCCACAGTTTTAAAAAGTTAAAACAAAAATAAATCACCTCCAAGCACAACATAGTACAGCACCATAATAACTTTTTCCTCCACATACGAGCTGTTCTTTCGAATAATCAAACACTCGCAGATAGCCTGCACTCAGCATATGAAAAGAGAAAAAGGAAAGTTAAGGTTCAACAAACTATCAAAGAAAACGACCAGAAAATGTAAATTATGTGAATTTGAATTAATACCATCTCTTCCAACAGTAGCCAAGTAGGCCCCATCAAAGGAGAAAGCAACGCTATTAATTGACCCTTGACAAACATGCCATCTAGCAATTGGATTACTCTGCAAGTAAAAATGGAAATCGGCAAAGTGAGAGACAAGAATACATAGAAGCTTGGAGTAATACATATATTGCTTCCTCAATGATATCAAGCAACAGTCAGACTAATCCCAAATTATGGTGCTAGGGTGGGTCCTCTATCTTGCCACAAACCAAGACTATCATAGCATTAACTGTAACAAAATAAATATATACACCAGCAGGCAAGCACAAGACTAAATCATTTTTCCTTTTTTCTTTCATTCTCATACTACAGTAGCAGTTAACGAGTTGATTAAAGGCTTTGAGCATGCATGATTAATATTGGCTTCTATATAATTACTTGCAGCTTTCCCAAAAAAAAAGATAAATAAAAGCAAAATTAGGACTAATTGCAGCTGTCTATGAAATTAGGGTGTCAAACTGTCAATCACTAGTTTTTGACTCTAGGTCATGTATACCTCAGAGAAAAAAAAAGTTATAAGCAGGACAAGATCTACTAGAACCACACAGATGATATAATATTAATGGCTTCCAGCTTTAGACAATAGTTCTAAGGTAAAGAATACCAATTTCAGGAAGCATACACAAATGAGAAAGTCAAAATTCTAAAAATGAACACTTACTAGTACCTTACTGTAACGTGCATGCGATACAGAAAATTGGGTTTGGTCTTTTATAACAGAAAATGTAGTATCACCAGCAGCATCCTTGTTCTAGAGGGGGAAAAAAGAAAAGCTCAAAAAAAACATACTATAGAATATCACGTAATTTGTAAGTTGTACCCAGCTGAAAAGAGCCTTTTAGTTATAGAAACTTGCCTTTTCATATACATACATATTTCCATCAGCATGAGCAACAACAAAAGCACCATCACCCCCAGGAACCCATGTGATACTAGTACAGCGACTGCTGGAAACAACAAGCATTAATCAAAAAATGGGTAGAGCCAACACACAAACATGCATACACAATATATATATACACACACACACACACATCAATATTGAAGATAAACACCAATTAGTGACAAAAATTGGTTGTCCCCTTCTATAATCCTAAGGGAAGCCCAAGAGGAAAGAAAAACTGGAAGAGGAATTATATGTTGAATATTGCTAATAAGGATAACAATCAATTCACGGAGACCAACTCAGTTTCTGAATTTAAGAGTATGGTATTGACAACTTATAAATTCAGATTGAATATCAAGGTCAAAGACAAAGCAAATGAAGCACTCTAAAGCAAGGTTTCAAAGGTGGATGGAAATTAAATTCATGGTTGACCAAAAAGGCAATATTGCCCTTGTAAAACAACAAATGTGTAATCCACAAAGATAATTTTTATAATGGTTTCATGGAGTAAGCTACACATGCACCATCTGAAAGAAAAACTAAGCTATATAAGATGTCATTGAAAATTATCCTGCCACTGAGCAATTGGGTATTAACACCAATCTTGAAGCAACCCTAGAAATAGGACATAAAAATCTACAAGAATCACAATGCAGGAAGACCTAAAACAGAACGCGCTGAACATGAAAACTTAAAAAATAAGCCGGAAAATATAAAAACAATATAGCAATCTAAATCTTGCCTGCTATTGACAGAACCATCTTTATTGTAATGCAGTGCCCCAACAAGCTTCTTTCCAACATCCTGTAACTGCTGTCTAAGTGACACCGAGTAAACTACAGTAATGAAACAGAACTCATAAATTTGCAGAGTTTAAACCTTGGAATCAAAATAGCAAATCAGAACAATGATTACCATCCCCAGAGCTCAACCCAATGAGCAAATCATGCCCCTCTTTGGCATCCTGATCAAATGCATGGCAAACAGGGTTTGAATTGCTGAAATGGATAGACTTTATCGGTTCCTACGTTAAACACCAAGATTCTTAAAATAGTTCCATGTAAAATCATTTCCAATTCCACAAATATCTTAACAAGTCAAATTCTAAATTACCTTATCCTGAGAATTCAAATCACTTATAAAAATAGCATCACCAACATTAGAAATTAAATAAGTTCCTTTCCCATCAAAATTTGTATTAGTCAAAGAATTGCTTGAACTTGAAGCACCCAACGGCCCACCAATCCTACTAGTACTACTAATATTTTTACTCCCACCATTCCCTCCAACAAAGCTAAGCGCACGGCCGCCATTCCCAGAGCCTAGCCACCTTGTTGCTGCTGATTTTACCCCGGCGCTAGCACTGAAGCTGGACGATGAAGCTGTTGGAGTCGACGGAGCTGGCTTTTCCTTTAGATGTGCGAGGGTAACCTAGAAAATCAATATTGAAACAGAACACTTGAAATTTGAAGTTTAAGGGCATTAATTTGAAGTCTTCCAATCAACAATGCTAAAATTGAGTATAAAAAAATAAACTAACAAAACCTGTCCATTCATTGCTTCCAACAAATGGTTATATGTTAAAACCATACTTTTACAAATATGTTGGAAATGCTATTATCTAGTTATGGATTTCAAGTACAAAAACACCAAATTAAAATTCTACACTACAAATAAGACCTACTTAAAGTGAAACTAAAAAGATGGATCTTGATTATAACCCTAGAAAATTGAAGCTACCTGAGTAACAGTCTTTCCATGAGCGTAGTGAAGAAGGCTAGAAGGGTGAGTCTTTTCATAGTGAAGCTTATATCGACCTTCTGGGGTTTTAAAATAAGTCTTCAAACCCGGCGACTGAGCGTTCGCCGATGAAGAAGATGTCGAAATCATGCCGTTAGCTGTGTTGATCATGCCGCTTCTTAGTCATACAGCCGATAACATAATCTGATCATAACGCTTTAGGGTTTCCTTTTTGTTTCTTCGTCCTTCCCTTCTCAATGTTCAAACTTTCTTATTTGCCAAGACGAAAATAATAAAACCCAAAAATGAAAAGACTCGTCTTTTTGTTCTTCAATGGCAATAGTCTATAAGGATCAAAGAACGGAGTTAAGAGAAGGGGGGATCCTGTGGTTGCAGCTTATGATAAGTGTCTCAGTTTGCACTGAACGGGGTCCGTAACCTGGGTTTTTGCTTCATTTGCTTTGATAAGGTGTAGTTAAGAGTTTGACTTTGTGGCGAAATCAGAGGAAAATCAACGCAATGGACGGTGGAGATGGGGATAGATGATAGAAGAGAGAAAGGATTGGGAGAGACGGAAAAGATGAGATTGCAGAGAAAATGGCAACGGGTGACGTTCTCTCTGTTTTCATTGATTTTTAGTGTTTGAGATTTGATTAAAATATATTTCAGAAATTTTAGCTTCAATTTTATGTTTGCTCTTTTACTTCAACTTTATGGGCTTTCAAGACCAAGCCTTAATCCTACTTTTTTATATATAAAAAATGTTTTTTTTCCTTGAGAACCAATAAAGATAGATACAAACCAAAATTAGAATATTTAAAATTATAATGAAACTCGTAAAATAAACGTATAATTAAAATATTTTATTATAATAAATAATACAAAATAATTAATCACTCGATATCATAAAAAGATCATACAAGAAAAAGATTAAAATATATCCATAAAAAATTCGAATAAAAAATAGATACAAACAAATCTAATTACATCCGCGAATGAACCACAACAGGGGATTAAATTACTGAAAAACTATCGACAATCGCAAATCAAAATCAAGCGTCGTGAGAAAACTATCTAAGAACGCAAACTGTGTATCCAAGTCCAATCGGAGGGTCAAAAACAACGAAGATCAACATAATAATAAATAAGTGTCATCTTGATCAGTCGTGACGACATCAAATTCAACCCTAAAAAATTAAACAAAAGAAGAAAAAAACAAAACGACCGATAAAAGAATAAAAATGTACCAAATGACAGAGGAAAGCATACAATAAAATCAAATAAAAGTGTGTTATAAATATATGATTATTAAAAATAAAAAATAAAAAAATTAAAATATGATATAAAAATTAAAAGAAAATAAAAAATACAGACAATCGACTATCAATACTAAAATTAATATCAACGCCTCACAAGAAAAAAAAGAGAATGAGGGTTTTAGGACAAGTAGCGAGTTGATTTTTCAACTAATATACGGTATATAATTGAAATCTATACTTTTATCTTTTAATTTAGTGAAAATAGTGTATTAAAAATAAAAAGTAGAAATTAATTTTTAATTAATAATTTAAAGTGTTCCTAGATCGAATTGGGTTAAAATTGGTATATTATAATATATTCTACAGTAAATCATACCTATGATCACCGTTAATTCTTTGATTTTATGAATCACATTATTTAAATAGTATCAATTAAATCATTAATCGATAATGTTTAAAGGAAAGGATAGTGTGGGTGTAGTTTAGAAAAATCATTGTTGCTTTGGTGGGGAAAGAAGTAGAACAAATTACAAATTAACAAAGAAGCAACATATGAATAACTCAAATCAAAGCTCTTCAATTTCCTATCATCAAATTCAAAAACGAATTAATGAAGCAAAACTTTGTCAAGGAAAGACAAGGTTTGGTGGTGTCAGGCAAAGTCATATTGGTGAAGGTATCAAAAGTGGAAACCACCGAATCCACCACCTGGAAAGCCTCCGTAGAACGTAAATGTGAAATGCTGTCCACCTCCACCAAACGGATTGAAACCACCGCCTCCCATTCCCATGTCTTCGCTGTCTTCTCCTCTGTCGTACTTTGCTCTCTTTTTGTCATCCCCAAGAACCTGTAACATGCAATACGTTGTTAGTATTCCCTTCATTGATTGAAAAGTATTAATCAGAAAAGTTGAAGTTAAAGAATGTTGAATATCAATGGATCAGGCCTCAAATGCAGCAGCAATTTCTCGGAATTGTGCCTCAGCTTCTTCCCTATTATCAACATTCTTATCTGGGTGCCATTGCAGAGCAAGCTTCTTGTATGCTCGTTTTATTTCCGCAACCAAAGCAGTCTTTGAAACTCCCAAAATTCTGTACCAGTCTTTGCGTTTGCTCATCTTCAAGGCTTTCTCAGCTCTCGTAAGTGCTTCACGGATATTCATATCCTGCAAAACAAATAATTCTTTTAGCTCTCGTAAAGCCTATAATCCGGGAGAAGAAATTTCAATACGGAGAATTATCACCCAAATTTAATATTTTTGACTAACCTGAGGCGATTTTTGAGCAGCTGATTTCAGATCTTCCACAGCACCTTCCCAATCCTCTGTTAGAAGTTTAGCCTCTCCCCTCTAAACCATTGAAACACAGTAAAAATTTATGGCATTATGTTTGACCCACTGTAATAAAAGTTGTACAAAGCGAATCAAATCTACAGCAGACCTGTACTAAAGCTTCAAGAAGTTCCTCATCAATGTTAAGCGCCTCAGAGCAACTACTTAAAGCATCCTTCCCTCTGCCAAGCTTAACCAAGACATTACATAATCCTAGGTCAAGATGCACATTATGAGCAAGATGATCCGGATCCAATGCAAGTGCGGCTTTATAGTCCTCAACTGCAAGGCGCAACTTGCCCTTGTTTATCTTCCGCCTAAACAAGATTCCATGAATCCAAGTATGTTAATAAAGTAAGGACATGTGATGATAACAACAACAAATTGAAGGTTGTTCGATAAAGTAGGGCTGGTGCCGAACAAGGCGTAGACCTTTCTGGTAATGCCTGAAAGGATCATGTATCTATTAAACCCCCATTCTTTATGTAGTCCAATAGAAACAAATGCTCTTTTGCAAGACAAACCTTTGAGCAACATCATGATATGCTAAATAGTATGCTCGACCACGAAGGAGTAAGGCCTCAAGATTGTTCTCATCTTCCTTGAGAATAAACCCGGTTTCTGATATTACACTAGAATAGTCTTTAGATGATAACAACACCACCACCTTGAGGATCTTAGCCTGCAAACGATGAAGCAAATTAGATTTTATATACTGTTATAACTCCGGAAAATAAATTTAAATAGGTGATACCTTTGAGCATGCCGGTGAAAAAACTAGCACAACTTTATCTAGGTATTCCAAACCTTTTGTAAAATCTCCAGAGTCGAGACTGAAAGCTGTTACCAAAGCACTTTGAGCCTGATGCAATTGAGAAAGTTTGAAATATTTTTTTTAAAATTCAAAAGTATGGATATTTACTCTAAAAGTATGGATACTCTAAAGGTTAATAATAATGTATCCATAATAATAATGTATCCATACTTACTCTAAAAGTATTGATATTTGCTAAAGTATCGACCATCAAATTATAGTAGTATCGATATTTATTTTAAAAATAATTGTCATCCAAAGATATGTAATTTATTAAATCATACCGATATCATTAAACATAACTTTAATATTCCAGATTCCAACCTACTTCTTTATTCAAAATATTATTTGGTGCAACCTAGTATGCAAATATTTATTTAAAGCAAAATAAGAAATTAACATATTTTGTTGTCATAGGATTTTGAATGCCCCATCAACTTAAATTTTAGTAACATTTTAGGTGTTACCTAATATGTTGCTATTATTAATAACAAAATAAATAATTAACTTATTTTGTTATCGAATTTCTAAGGTCTCATCAGCTTAAACTTTGATAATATTTTAGGTGTTACCTAATATGTTGATAATATTGATAACAAATTAAGTAATTAACCTATTTTGTTATCGTCGGATTTCGATGGCCCCATCAGCTTTAAAAAGGCGTTACCTATTACATTAAATAAGCGATACTTGTTATGTTATTATGGTTGATAATGTTTCCAGTAATTAACATATTTTTTTATCGTCAAATTTCTAAGGCTTCATCAGCTTACACTTTGGTAACATTTTAGGCTCTACCTAATATGTTGATAATATTGATAACAAATCAAACAATTAACCTATTTTGTTATCGTCGAATTTCTAAAGTCCCATCAGCTTTAAAAAGGAGCTACCTATTATGTTACATAAGCGCTACATATTTTTTTATTATGATTGATAATATTTCCAATAATTAACCGGTTATGTTGAAGTCAATATTTTTTTGCGCATTTTACATATGACGATAATATTCCTGATTATTATCATTATTATTACCAACACAAATAACATTTCCGGTGAAAACATATAACATTTTCGGTAACGCTTTTAACTAATCACATATTTAACCAGTCACGCCATATTTTAGCCATATATTAGTCTGCCTCACAACAGAACCTCCCGCCAACTCACTTTAGCTCATGTTGCAAAAATGTCAATTCCTTCCAAAGGAATCTAGAGCATAGTTGATGGGTTCTATTCATTCATACCTTTGAAGCAAACCGTTCATTTGCATGTGTATTGTATGACAGTCACATGTTCCAAATTTGGGGGTTATCGTCGGATTTTGAAGGCCCCATCAGCTTTAAAAAGGCGCTACCTATTACATTAAATAAGCGCTACTTGTTATGTTATTATGGTTGATAATGTTTCTAGTAATTAACCTATTTTGTTATTGTCGTATTTCTAAGGCTTCATCAACTTAAACTTTGGTAACATTTTAGGCGCTACCTAATATATTGATAACATTGATAACAAATCAAGTAATTAACATATTTTGTTATCGTCGAATTTTTATAGGCCCATCAGCTTTAAAAAGGAGCTACCTATTATGTTACATAAGCGCTACATGTTATGTTATTATGGTTGATAATGTTTCCAATATTACATACGACGATAATATTCCTAGTTATTACCATTATTATTACTAACACAAATAACATTTTCGGTGAAAACATATAACATTTTAGGTAACACTTTTAACTAATCACCTATTTAATCAGTCGCGCCATTTTTTACTCGTATATTAGTCTGCCTCACAGCAGAACCTCCTGCCAACTCACTTTAGTTCATGTTGCAGAAATGTCAATTCATTCCATAGAAATCTAGAGCATAGTTGATGGTTCTATGTGCAGAAATGTCAATTCATTCCATAGAAATCTAGAGCATAGTTGATGGTTCTATTCACTCATGCCTTTGAAGCAAACCGTTCATTTGCATGTGTAATGTATGACAGTCACATGTTCCAAATTTTGGGGTTTTCCGTATAAATGTAATTCAAGTTCGTTTATATATAATTTTTATATCCTAATGATATTTTTGTTCAAGGAAAAAAGATTTGTTTAATTCTCAGGAAATTGACATATAAAGTTACAAATGAAGATTTTGATAGTATTTGTTGGGATTTTCGAAGAGACTCAATTGAACAACCGAAAAGTGTACAAGAGGGGTGAATTGGAAAAAATTGTTTAGGGAGTG